CTTTTGGGCCCCGAGGGCCCGGGCCCCCCGGGGGCCCCCGCCGATGGCTTCCTTTGTCTCGCCTTCCATATACCCCCCTCCCCTCCACACCGTCCTCCCTCCCCCACCTGCCCCGAGGGTTGGCAGAGGGAAGGGCGGGCGCCTCCCGCCCCCTTGGCACTGTCCCCAGAGCACAGGACTCCAGAGGCAGCTGGCCCTGGGGGGCAGTGGGTATGTGGGGAAACAGGGATGGGGGAGAGGACCAGGCCTCAGAGGAGGGGCCAAAGTTGAAGGAGGCACAGACAAGGAAAAGAGGAGGAACAGATGAGGCAGCAGGATGCCCAGGCATTGGTACAAAACAGCTTTATTTGAGGCCCTCGCCTATGAGGAGTGGACCGATAATAGAGATGTGGGTTGTGGATCCTGGAGACCTCAGGGCTCTGGGGACTGTGACCTGGGCGTGGGTCACCCGGACTTTCAGAACCAAAGGGCAGGGAAAGATCCTGGAGCTGGGTAAGGTTAGGGGCACCAGAAAGCCAATGGGGGCAGGGCTGGAACTGGCCAAGGTCAGAGGCTGATGCAACAGGTCCTCTTCTCCCCAGAACCAGGCTCCTGCCCAGCCTGGGCACTGCCCAGGGTGATCGCACTGGACCGGGAACTGTTCTGCCTCTGCTTGGACACCTTGGCAAAGATCTCTGGGAAGGAACAGGGCAGGGGTCAGGCCAGAGGATTAAGAGCCCACGCTGCCCCCACTCCAATACTGCATGCCCCTTCTGGCTGGAAGGAAGTAGAGTGTAGGTACCTGGGTTCCTTCCACTTACCTGGGCGGAGAAGGAACCAAAACTCAGCCCTCTGCAAAGCATGGCTTTCTGGTTCCTTCTCTCAGCCCCAGGCTGAGCAGGAGCCACTTGAGAGAGACTGAGTCTGAGGGGCAGGGATGTGGGAGGCTCCGAGGAGGCCTGGGACCCACAGAGGGCTGTCTGCCTTCCTGCTGCAGCCCACAGAAGCCACAGGTGGACGAGGCACTGAATGGAGGCAGGCTCCTACCTTTGAGGACAGTCTCGAAGGCTAGCTCAACATTGGTGGAGTCCAGGGCTGAGGTCTCCAGGAATAGCAGCCCATTGTTTTCTGCCAGAAAAGGAAGCACATCAATTGTGGGGCCCAAAGGCAGTAGCGATAATGTTTAGTTCATCTTTACTGCACACATTAGCTATGTGCTAAACCACTGGCATGCAGTAGCTAATTTCATCCTTAAAAGCCATGGAGCTTGGAACCAGCAGATGGAGTAATGGTTACATCACTGGACTCCACATAGGTGATGTGGTTCGAGTCCCGCATCCGGTGGCTTGAAACTTATGCCAGGTGCGTGTACATGCGGGCCCAAAATCTCAAGAGGAGAATGGAGGAGAAGGGACTGTGACTTGGCTATCTCCCTTGGGGGATGATTTCTCGCTTTCTGTCCCTCTCTCTCCGTCTATCTCTCTGGAAAACACATGAGTCCTATAACAATGCCTCTCTAAAAGAAAAAAAGAGAGAGAGAAAGAAGCCCATGGGTAGATTTGGTTAGAAAACTGAAGCCCAGGGACCAGCAGTTAGTGTAATGGCTATGTCGCTGGACTCCCATGTAGCCGACTACGATTCGAATCCCAGACCCAGTGGCTTAAACTCATGCCAGGTGCGTGTGCGTGCGTGCCCAAGATCCCGAGAGGAGAATGGAGGAGAAGGGATTGCGGCATGGCCATCGCCCGATTTCTCCCTTTCTGTCTCTCTGTCTCTCTCTGTCTTTCTGGCAAGCACATACGCCCTATAGCGAAAACCTCTCCAAAAAAAAAAAAAAAGAAAGGAAAGAAAGAAAACAAGCCCAGAAACACAAAGAAGATGAGTGAGGAACCTGCTCCATGTCCCACATCTAGTAAGAGGTGAAGAGGTGACTGGATATGGGAGGCCCACCCCTTTACACTTAGTAATTTCTTTTTTGGGGGGAAAGATTTTTGCTATAGGACACATGCACTCGCCAGACAGACAAAGAGAGACAGAGAGACAGAAAGCGAGAAATCACCCCCCAGGGGAGATGGCCTCGCCGCAATCCCTTCTCCTCCATTCTCCTCTCGGGATCTTGGGCACGCACACACACGCGCCTGGCGTGAGTCTCAAGCCACCGGGTCCGGGACACGAACCGCGGTCGACTACATGGGAGTCCAGCGACATAGCCATTACGCTAACTGCTGGTCCCTACACTTAGGAATTTTGAGCATTATAACGTGGGGCTGTCTTAAAAATAAACTGTGGGGCTAGTTGGTGGCATGGTGGTTAGGGTACTGGGTCCCATATGGCTGACTACACAGTTTGAGTTCTAGAACTGAAGGCTTTGGGCACATGTGTGTGTGTGCCCAGAATCCTGACAGGAGAATGGAGGAGAGGGGATTGAGATGTAGCCATACTCCCTGGGGGCTAATTTCTCATTTTTCTCTTTCTGTCTCTCTCCTGCAAGAGTATGCACCCTATGGCAAAAATCTAAAAAAAAAAAAAAAAAAAAAAGGCAGGTGGCACGGTGGTTGAGGACACTGGACTTCCACATGGCCAACTGCGGTTCGAGTCCCCAACCTGGTAGATGCTTTCTCACTTTCTCTCTCTCTCTCTCTCACTCTCTCTCTCTCTGGTCAAATTAAAATAAACAAAGTTAAATAATTCTAAAAATAAAAAGAATTGAAAAATTATCTGTGGGTAACTGCTAATGAAGAGGCCAGCAGTGCAGTGGCACATGAGTAACACAACCCTCCACAATGCTGAGGCCACAGACAGGAAGACCTCCCAAAGTCTTCCTCTCGCTCGCTCTCTCTCTCTCTCTATATATATATATGTGTGTGTGTGTGTGTGTGTGTGTGTGTGTATAAATATATATATATATATATAAATATATATATATTTTTTTTTGAGAGAGGTTTTTGACATAGGGCATGTGCACTCCCCAGAGAAACAGAGAGAAACAGAAAGACAGAAAGCGAGATATCACCCCCTGGGGGTATGGCCATACTGCAATCCCTTTTCCTCCATTTTCCTCTCAGGATCTTGGGCATGCATGCACACAAGCCTGGCGTGAGTTTTAAGCCACCATGTCCAGGATTCAAATCATGGTCAACTACATGGGAGTCCAGCAATGTAACTATTATGTCATCTGCCAGTCCCAAAGTATTGCTATATTTTCCAGGTGTGTGTGTGTGTCTGTGTGTGTGTGTGTGTGTGTGTGTGTGTGTATACTCACAATCCTGGTTGACTGAGGATGGGGGTGGATTGTGTCCTATTAAGGGTGCTCCCTTTTCAGCACAATAAATAAATATAGGGACCAGTAGATGGCGTAATGGTTATGTTGCTGGACTCCCATGTAGTTGACAGCGGTTTGAGTCCTGGACAAAGCAACTTAAAACACATGTCAGGTACGTGTGCATGTGTGCCCAAAATCTCAAGGGGAGAATGGAGAAGGGACTGCAGCATGACCATCCCCCCTAAGGAGTGATTTTGTACTTTCTGTCTCTCTCTCTTTCTCTGGCGAGCACATGAGCCCTGTAGCAAAACATCTCTCAAAAATAAATAAATAAATAAAATAAATAAATACAGGGGCCGGCAGGTGGTGTGGTGGTCGAGGCACTAGAATCCCACATGGCCAACTGCGGTTCAAGTTCCAGACCTGGCATCTTGCTTTCTCACTTTCCCTTTCTCTCTCTCTCCTTGATCCGGAAGAAGAAGGGATGGAGGTAGAGGACCATTGAAAGTCGAGGCTGGGGAGGCTGGTGCTGGGAGGGTGTGGGCAAGCATGGAGGAGTCAGGTCGGGTCAGGCTGGGTCCTCACCAGCAAACATGCGAGCCTCTTCCGTCGGCACCTCCCGGGCCTGGCTAAGGTCACTCTTGTTCCCCACGAGCATGACGACAATTGTGGCCTCCGCATGATCATAGAGCTCCTTCAGCCAGCGCTCCACCACGGCATAGGTCTGGTGCTTGGTCAGATCAAACACCAGGAGGGCCCCTACTGCACCGCGGTAGTACCTGGTGGGGGTGGGACAGGTGGACAGAGGCAAGATCGAGGCATCAGGCCCAGCAGCGGGGCAGAGTCATCAAGCCAAAACATCCTAGTTCGGAGTTCCAGAGATCTGGAAATGTGGAGACTTGGAGTCCAGGGACCCAAACTCTGACAGGGCTGCCAAGGCTCCCATGCCCTCCAGATCCTGGGGTCTGCAAAGCATTGCCTCTGCTCGAAAACCTCCACTGCATCCCTCCTAGCCCCTCTGCTCCCCGAGACCCTTTCCCTGATTTGATCCCCTCCTATCTACCAGTGGACATCTAGGCTCCAGCCAAATGTGGGTGCCTCACCTCGCATCTTCCTCACAGGGCTCCTCCACCCAGTGCCCTCTCCTCTCTGGTGGCCACCTTCTAGGACCAGCCAGATGCCTACACCCAGCAGCAGCCCCAACTGTCTGAGGAATCCCTGCGGGCACCCAGCTTCCCTCTTGGAATTGGACAGGACATCTTCCAACTGGTGGTGTCTAGTCATTCTCAACTTAACCGCTGAGTCGACTGAGGCCAGCTTACCAAGAGTGCTGAGTGTGTGTGCATATCTCGGGAGTGTGTAAACTGGAGCACCTGCTTCTTGCCCGCTAGCTATCCCTGCTCCACATGCACACGCACCACCTGTCACACACTCGGACCTGACGCTGTGTGGGAGACACTCTGGCGTGGGGTCAGGAGGCCTAGCCTCGTGCATCCTGTGTCTTTATAAAATGCAGACGCCAGGTCCTGGCCTGGCCTCGGTGGCTAGATGCAGGTTGCCAAGTGCAGAGCACTGTGCGGAAGTGAGGGGGCGCTCTTGATCCACGCAGCCTGCCCTGTGCCGGCTCCACGCATTTCACCTAGCAGGCATTGATAGCACCTTAGTCCTGTGGTACCTTCAGAGTTACAGAAAATGTACCTTCCTGGGCACACGGCCAAGGCACAGCAAGTGGTGCCGATGATCCTGTTTTTGGCCCTCTCGGTCAGTGGCACCATACCCCGACCCACACCATTTGCTGCTTCTCACAGCACTTGGGTCTCCTGTGATCCCTGCCTCCCTGGGAGCACACTGCCCGAGTCCCCTTGCCTCGCCCTTCTCCTCCTCCGCTTCTCCTGCAAAGGTGTTCCCTGATTCCCCGGGACGTCCGCAACCCAGCAGCCCCCCAGGCCCAGGCTCACGCCGAGGTGATGGCTCGGTACCGCTCCAGGCCAGCTGTGTCCCAGATCTGGGCCTTGACAGCGGCGGTGCCCAGCATCACAGTGCGGGTGGAGAACTCAACCCCGATGGTGGTGCGGCTGTCGTGGCTGAACTCATTGCGCGTGAACCGGGATAGCAGATTGGTCTTCCCCACGCCTGACTCGCCGATCAGCACCACTGAAGGAGCAGAGAGAGAAGGGCTGAGCACGGGCAGAGTGCCCAGGTCTGCTTGAGCTCAAGGGTCTGTCCAGCAGGCAACAGCAACTGCCCTCAGAAAACTGGGGAGGAGGCCCTGATAATGGTGCAGCGACAGCACTCAAAACTGCAAGGCTGACCCACACCAGAAGGTTCGGGCAGGGCTCACCTCTGGAGACCTCCCTGAGCATGACTGGCAGGCGTGTGCCCCTGATTTGGGGTTGGCTGGACTGTGGTGTGGAGACCCTGTTGGGGGTGCTGTCTCCCTGTCTTTCTCTGACTCTTTTGCTCATCAAAGAATAAATAGATGAGGTTTAAAAGAAAAAGAAAAGAAGGGGCCAACCAGTGGCATGGTGGTTAAGGTGACTGGATTCCCATAAGGCTGAGTCCGTGGTTCAAGTCCTGGACCTAGAGGCTTGAAAAAATTTGTTGGCA